TGTGGTGCTGAGAAGAATATATATTCTGTTGATTTGGGGTGGAGAGTTCTGTAGATGTTTATTAGGTTCGCTTGGTCCAGAGTTGAGTTCTAATTCTGAATATCCTTGTTAATTTTCTGTCTCGTTGATCTGGCTAATATTGACAGTGGGGTGTTAAAGTCTCCCACTGTTATTGTGTGGGAGTCTAAGTCTCTTTGTAGGTCTCTAAGAACTTGCTTTATGAATCGGGGTGCTCCTGTATTGGTTGCATATATATTTAGGATAGTTAGCTCTTCTTATTGCATTGATCCATTTACCATTATGTAATGCCCTTCTTTGTCTCTTTTGATCATTGTTAGTTTAAAGTCTGTTTTATCAGAGACTAGGATTGCAACCCCTGCTTTTTTTTGCTTTCCATTTCCTTGGTAAATATTCCTCCATCCCTTTATTTTGAGCCTATGTGTATCTTTGCACATGAGGTGGGTCTCCTGAATACAGCACATTGATGGGTCTTGACTATTCAAATTTGCCAGTCTGTATCTTTTAATTGGGGCATGTAGCCCATTTACATTAAGTGTAATATTGTTGTGTGTGAATTTGAAACTGTCATTATGATACAGGCTGGTTATTTTGCCCATTAGTTGATGGAATTTCTTCATAGTGTCGATAATCTTCATAATTTCGTATGTTTTTACCGTTGCTGGTACCGGTTTTTCCTTTCTGTATTTAGTACTTCCTTTAGGAGCTCTTGTAAGGCAGGCCTAGTGGTGACAAAATACCTCAGCATTTGCTTGTCTGTAAAGGATTTTATTTCTCCTTCGGTTATGAAGCTTAGTTTGGCTAGATATGAAATTCTGGGTTGAAAATCCTTTTCTTTAAGAATGTTGAATATTGGCTCCCACTCTCTTCTGGCTTGTAGAGTTTCTGCCGAGAGATCTGCTGTTAGTCTGATGGGCTTCCCTTTGTGGGTAACCCGACCTTTCTCTCTGGCTGCCCATAACATTTTTTCCTTCATTTCAACCTTGGTGAATCTGGTGATTGTTTGTCTTGGAGCTGCTCTTCTTGAGGAGTACCTTTGTGGTGTTCTCCGTATTTCCTGAATTTGAAATTGGGTTTGTGTTTCTAGATTGGCTGGGGAAGTTCTCCTGGATAATATCCCGAAGAGTGTTTTCCAACTAGTTTCCGGTCTCCCTGTCACTTTCAGGTACACCAATCAAATGTAGGTTTGGTCTTTTTACATAGTCCCAGATTTCTTGGAGACTTTGCTTGTTCCTTTTCATTCTTTTTTCTCTAATCTTGTCTTCATGCTTTTTTTTGTGACGTTGATCTTCAATCTCTGATATCCTTTCTTCTTGATCGATTAGGCTATTGATACTTTTTTATGCATCACGAAGTTCTTGTGCTGTGTTTTTCAGCTCCATCAGGTCATTTATGTTCTTCTCTAAACTGGTTATTCTATTAGTAATTCCTCTAACCTTTTTTCAAGTTTCTTAGCTTCTTTGCATTGGGTTAGAACATGCTCTTTTAGCTCGGGGGACTTTGTTATTACCTTCTGAAGCCTACTTCTGTCAATTCGTCAAACTCATTCTCCGTCCAGTTTTGTTCCCTGGCTGGCGAGGAGTTGTGATCCTTTGGAGGAGAAGAGGCATTCTGGATTTTGGAATTTACAACCTTTTTGCACTGGTTTTTCCTCATCTTCGTGGATTTATCTACCTTTGGTCTTTGATGTTGGTGATCTTTGGATGGGGTTTCTGTGTGGACGTCCTTTTTGTTGATATTGATGCTATTCCTTTCTGTTTATCAGTTTTCTTTCTAATACTCAGTCCCGTCTGCTGCAGGTCTGGAGTATATTGCTGGAGGTCCACTGCAATATACCCTGTTTTCCTGGGTATCACCAGTGGAGGCTGCAGAACAGCAAAGATTGCTGCCTGTTCCTTCCTCTGGAAGCTTTGTTCCAGAGGGGCAACTGCCAGATGCCAGCCAGAGCTCTTTTGTATGAGGTGTCTGTCGACCCCTGCTGAGAGGTGTCTCCCAGTCAGGAGGCATGGGGGTCAGGAACCCACCTGAGAAGGCAGTCTGTCCCTCAGCATAGCTTGAGCGCTATGCTGGGAGATCTGTTGCTCTCTTCAGAGCCAACAGGCAGGAACGTTGAAGTCTGCTGAAGGTGCACCCACAGCCGCCCCTTCCACCAGGTGCTCTGTCCCAGGCAGATGGGAGTTTTATCCAGAAGGCCCTGACGGGGGCAGCTGCCTTTCTTTCAGAGATGCCCTGTCCAGAGAAGAAGAATCTAGAGGCAGTCTGGCTACAGCTGCTTTGCTGCACTTTGGTGGGTGACGCCCAGTTCAAACTTCCTCGTGGCTTTGTTTATGCTGTGAGGGGAAAACCACCTACTCAAGCCTCTGTAATGGCAGACACCCCTCCCCCCACACCAAGCTCCAGTGTCTCAGGTTGCCTTCAGACTGCTGTGCTGGCAGCGAGAATTTCAAGCCAGTGAATCTTAGCTTGCTGGGCTCTGTGGGGGTGGGATCCTCTGAGCTAGACCACTTGGCTCCCTGGCTTCAGCCCCCATTCCAGGGGAGTAAATGGTTCTGTCTCGCTGGCATCCCAGGTGCCACTGGGGTATGAAAAAAACTCCTGCAGCTAGCTCTGTGTCTACCCAAACACCTGCCCAGTTTTGTGCTTGAAACCCAGGGCCCTGGTGGTATAGGCACCCAAGGGAATCTCCTGGTCTATGGGTTGCAAATACTGTGGGAAAAGCAGAGTATCTGGGCTGAAGTGCACCTTTCCTCATGGCACAGTTCCTCAGGGCTTCCCTTGGCTAGGGGTGGGGGGAATTCCCTGATACCTTGCAGTTCCTGGGTGAGGCAACGCCCCACCCTGCTTTGGCTCACCCTCCATGGGCTGTACCCACTGTCTAACCAGTCCCAGTGAGATGAACCAGGTACCTCAGTTGGAAATGCAGAAATCACCCGCCTTCTGCGTTGATCTTGCTGGGAGCTGCAGACTGGAGCTGTTCCTATTCAGCCAGCTTGCCAGCCCAATGCTCCTTACATTCTTAAAGATTCTAAGTTTATCTTGTCTTGATTTCCTCATCTCTAGGATAAGGCAGCTGTGTTGAATGTGGGGCCATCCATCTCTACTATGCTGCAGTGTGCTTTTGGGGAGTCCTATTACTTTATAACTACCCGCCATTCTCCATTCTGTATTCCTCCAACTCAATCTATGATGGCTGTTGGATTAATCTTCATAATATAGAACCCTAATCACACTGAGCATCTGTTCTGGAATGGAAAAGAATAAATGTTAATAACTTTCTTCATGCAATGGGAGTTTTGTGAGTTACCATTTATTAAAAGCTGACTAAATAAATTCTACTTACTAAACAAAAATGTATTGATACATTTTTGTGTCTGGTAAGTTTTGGCACTAAGGATAGCGAATTGATTCAGAATTTATGCATATCACACTAGTAGGGAAATTAAAATTCTATAATTTTGTATTTAATCATAGCCGATGTGTGTGTGTATATATATAAAATATATATGTTTATCTTTCTGATATTAATTTCCTTACATAGAATATGGATCCTCCAGGCATAACTAGTTTCTATTTCACATGTACGTCCTCAGAATTCCTGAAACCTCTTTGTTATTGCCAATCTGGAATGACTTTCCTCCCTTTATCACATTTCTATTTATCTTTCAATATGCAGCTTAGATATTAGATAGCAAGTCTTCCTTCCTTTCTCACCGTCTTCCTTCTTTTTCTATGGAACATTACTGTTTAACCTTGAACTATAATTGACGTAGGTTCACATTTTCTCCTCCATGAGACTGCTACCTTTTGCAGGCAGGAAGTAGCTTAAAAGCATAAGCTTTTGAGTCAGGTAGACCAGACTCTGTCATTTACCAGTTATGCCTACCTAGGCAAGTTACTTGATTTCTCTAAGTGTTGGTTTTCTCATCTGCAAAATAGGGATGTTAATAATGACTTTTGTATAGGGTAGCAGTAAGAGTTAAAGAAGACAATGTTTGTAACATAGTTAGTACCATGCTTGGTTCATTGGCAAGTGTCCAATAAATTCAAGGCATTTTTAATTGTTTTATTATATAATTTTAATTATTTTATATATTAACAATCCCTTTTACCCTGTGAACTCTTACAAATAACTCAGTATTTTGGATGTAGCAAGTGTTTGATACATATATTTAGGAAAACTTTAACAAATGTTGTTGAATAAAGGCTTGTAGGAATTCAGAAGCAAGAATGATTAGTTCTGATTGTTGGATTAAGGAAGACTTGGCTGGAGTTGGCATTTGAACTTTCACATCTGAGTTATGATTTGACAGAAATGAACAACAGAAAAACATTGGAAGCCAATGACATGCAATTTCAGGGAGAAGTGTGAGCTAAGCTTTACATTAATAATAAAACCTACTCGATGGGTTGGTTTGTTTAATAAATGCATCTAAAGCATTGGCATAGTAAGAATACAGTAAATATTAGCCTGTGTTTTAACAGCCCATATATAGACTACATGTTAAATAACAAAAACTCATTTATACTTATAGTATATATGTGTATATATATACACATGCACACTTCATCTTTGACACTAGCTTGAAGGATCTCTGTAGAGCAACATTTCCTTAATATTTTTGTTTGCAATATCCATTTAGAAGTACAAAGAAAAATGTTTATTTTAAAATATTGTTTATTTCAGCTATATATTATTCTTCCTGTTTGTTTGAATTAGTGAAACAATACTTTGCAAATGGCTTTAAGTTGTCAGCTGTTAAGGATTATCATGCCATTTTTTCCCCACTGGTATAGCTAAATTTGAGAGAAATCTATATAAGTGACAGCTTACAACAGCTGCAATTGCTTGATATGCGAAAACAATCAAGGGATATATATTATGTGAAGTTCAAGGTCATTTTATTTTAATTAAACATGTATTGAATTATAGTATGTTCCATAATAATGTAACTAAGATTTTTTTCTGTCATACTCTTTTTAAATTTTTTATTTTAATATACTTTCCAGACATATGAGAGTTACAAGAATAGTACAATAATTCTAATATACCTTTTATCCAGATTCCTCAATGTTAACATTTTAACACCTTTACTTTATTTCTCTCCCTTTCTGTGTCACCCACACATACTCATTCTCTCTCTGAACTATGTGAGATAGTTGCAGACATGACAACCATCATTTGCTCCTGAATACGTCAGTGTGAGGTTCTTAAAAATAAGAAAAAATAGGATATTTTCTTAAATAACTGAAAAACAATTATCAAATTAAGATTGATGCAATATTATTATCTATTCCACAGACCTTACTTAGATTTTGCTATTTGTCCCAATAATGTCCTTTATAACAACAGAAAAATCCCATATTTATGTTTTGCATGTAGTTGTCGCATCTCTCTGCTTCTCTTTTAATCTGGAACACTTCCTCAGTCTTTCTTTGTCTTTCTTGACCTTAACATTCTTGAAGAACACAGACCAGTTATTTTGCAGAATGCCTCTCAATTTGGATTTGTCTGCTGTTTTCTGATAATTAGAATCAGGTGATGCACTTGGAGCAGGAATAGCATAGAAGTGATATTTTCTTCTCAGTGCATCATGTCTGGAGGACGACAAAAATTGTAAAACATAAATTTTGGAAATTTGGAAAGAAATTCTTTTATAATTTTTTAGAATGTTTGAAAACTTATATTTCTCAATTCTTTTATTTTTATTTAACATTTTTCATTTTTTAGCCAATCAGTAAAATATTAAGTATGGAATAACACTTTCCCTGCAAGGTTCTCTGTCAAATTATTGCAGTTTGTCAAGTATATTTATTGTTAAATGAAGGTATATATAGAAAGATACTCTTTAGTAAGAAATTTAGTTATCTATGGTATTAAATAGTAACATGGGTTTGATATGAAATAGAACATTGTAGCAAGAATGTTTTTGAGAGTTACAAATAAAAAGCTTGAACTAAGTAATTGGTTTGACAGATTTACTTTTGCCAAATTTTGCCACCCAACTCTGAGGCCACTAACAGGGAAAAGATTCAGGCGTTGCCTATTAATGCTCACTTAGTATTGGTTAGTTTTTTCAGATATTTGAGAGAAGGAATTTTCTTTTAAGTCAGAATTAATTTTAAGTCAACAGTGCTCCTTTATACAGAAAGATATATGATACTCAGATTTTAAGCCTGATCTTTCTTTCTTACTTATTTTCCCCTCAAGAGAGAAAAAAACTACTGCCTGATTACAAACCCTGCAGTGCATATGTTGAATCTAATTACATGTTTCATATTGCTCCTTGCCAACAAATACATGTTAATAATGATGAATAATCAACCTCCCTTAACAAGAGGAACACAAAATGTGTTTCTGCCATTTCTCATGATGAATAGACCCAGGAGTACGTCAAAGATGGTATCCTCACCACATCAGTTGCCTATGACTTATTACCAGCAACCTGCTCTAGATGATGAAGTGTGAAATTGATGGGCACTATAGGGAATTCGAGCTGAGATTTCAGGCTAGGGAAGAGCTGTCTCACAATATTCGACTGCCTTGTTCATTGACTCACTGGTTTCCCCTAAGGCCTCTTTTTATAATGCTCTGGAAAATGTTTCCTGGCTAAGTTAATGTATGTGCTACTGTATCTGGCTAGCAACCAGATTGATAGAATAAAACTTACAGGAAATTTTACTATATCCTGTTCCCCAGCTGATAGCAAGAAGTCTGAGCCATATAAGAACTGACTGAACAGAATGAATGGATGAAATATTTGAGCGTGTCATTGTGAGAATATCTTTCACTGCAGAAGATATTATAGACACTAAAGGGGAAAATGTGCTGTTATCACCTCCCATCTTTTTTTAATTAACTTTTAGAGATTAGTTTGCTAGTGATTCCCACATTTAACTCATGTCGGATGATTCTTTTATAATAGAAGTATTAATTTATAATTTATATTTGATTTATGAAATTGCTTGAATAGTCAAGTATCGATTAATTTAGCAGAGTCTGAAAGTATAGTACATACTATATCCTTATAATTTATTTCAGAAATTTTCATTTACTTCTGGAATTATTTTCCTCCTGCTTTATTTGAATAGTCAAGATATTATGTTGCTATAGCATTAGTAGAAAAATTCCAGGGAAGCAGTCATATAAGCAAAACTCAAGTTTTCAAGCAGGCCTGAATTTAAAGCTGTACCCTAGCTACTTAATCTCAAGAAAATTACCTAATATTTCCAAGCCTTAAATTTCTTAGCTTGGAGAATCATAATATTTACTTCACATTCTTAAGTAAAATAATGTATAAAATAACTTGCACAGTGCCTAGCTTTACTTTCTTCTCTCACCCAGTACTTTGATATTCTTGTTGAGGCATAAACAGTAGAATATAAATGTTAACATTATTTGATATTTTATTTCATCATGAACTTACTAAATTTTTTGAACTTTGAACTTTGAACTTACTAAATGTTTGCATAAAAAACTTTAGTAAGAAACTTTTGAACTTACTAAATTTAATTTTCATTTTCTTTTTAATTTTTGAGACAGGGTCTTGCTCTGTTTCCAGGCTGGAATGCAGTGGCACAATTATAGCTCATTGCAGCCTCAAACTCCTGAGCTAAAGGGATCCTCCCCCTCAGCCTCCCAAGTAGTTAGAAATACAAGCGTGTGCCACCATGCTCAGCCTTTTTTTCTTTTGTTAAGTTTTTGTAGAGATGGAGCCTTTTGCTTTATTGCCCAGGCTGGTCTCGAACTCCTGGCCTCAAGCAATCCTCTGGCCTTAGCCTCGCAAAGTGCCCAATCACAGGCATGAGTCATCTTTCTTGGCCTAATCTTCCTTTCTTTAGAAACAAAATTGGACTCATGAATCTATTAGCATTCTTAAGAAGTATTCTACAGCAGAACAGAAGTAGAACAAGCAAGGAAAAGTGAAAATACATCTATTGCTAAGGGAAGGAAGAATTAAAACACAAATATATTTTTGTTAAGATTTTTTAAAATAAAATGTAAATTTTTGGATTTTTTTGCATTTATAATTCTGTCTCTTAGTTTGTTTAACTACTTATCTTTTTTTTTTTTTTTTTTTTTTTTTGACAAAGATAATGTGGGTTTGGGTGAAGTACTTCTAAGTCAAAATGAACTTTTCCCACAGTGGTCAGGAATTGCCATAGTGCTGTTTTCTAAGGTGCATAGCATGTCTGTGTGGGGTAGTTCATATTCTGAAGCCCAGGGACTCTTTTCCCAGCGGGAATAATTTTTCTGTGAGATGCTTTGAAAGATATTTTGCTTCACTTATATGCCCTGTCAGAATAAATGTGCCACTTCTTGCACATACCTTGTATAAGGTCTACAACCTCTGTAAACTCTGAGTGCCACTGGCAAAACTAAGCAATGTTCTGGTTAACCTTCACAAGCAGGGTAGTTGGGAGAAACATAAATGAAGAGAATATGAGAAACAGGGGAAGAGAAAGAAAAGAAAAAAGGAGAAAGACGGCCGGGTGTGGTGACTCATGCCTATAATCCCAGTGCTTTGGAAGGCCAAGGTAGGGGGATCACTTGAGCTCAGGAGTTCAAGACCAGCCTGGGCAACATAGCAAGATCTCATCTCTACAAAAAATTTAAAAATTAGCCAAGTATGGTGTGCGCACCTCCCAGCTATGTGGGAGGCTGAGGCAGGAGGATCTGTTGAGCCCAAGAGGTTGTGGCTGCAGAGAGCCATGTTCATGCCACTGCACTCCAGCCTGGGAAACAGAGTAAGACCCTATCTCTAAAAACAAAACAAAACAAACCCACAAAAAAAAAAAAAAAACAGGAGAAAGATAAAAACATCATTCATGGCTTCATAATATATAGAAATTATGATTACTTGAGAATCCTGGGATTCTCAAGCTGGGATTATAGGCGCACACCATCATGCCCAGCTAACTTTTGTATTTATAATAGAGACAGGGTTTCACCATGTTACATGGGCTTATTTGAGAATTCTTAATAATCACTTCTGATTTTTTGTCTTAATAAATATGTAGATAGTTTATTTCAGAACTTTCACTTTAAGTTTTATGAAAAGAATTATCGTGTTTGCGTATATATAATATATTTTTAAAAATAACTACCAATTTGGGCTAACCTCAAGTGATTTTTTTCGGTAATGTCAAAGTCATCTCATTGATAATAACTATTCTGGAACACAAGTTCATTTTATTTGTACAAAGCACATCTCACATTCTTTCCCTCTGTCTGAGATGGACAATTTGTTCGAATTTGACCTTTATTCCTCCTTGAGGCATAAGTTTGGGCTGATTTATTTGGATAAGATTGGATATTGCACCTGGTGTGGATAATACTAGATTACATCTTCAGGAAATTGAACTTTTTCTGTTTACCCTTTAGAACAAACAGCTTTCTGAAATGAATATGTTGGAGACAGTGTTAGCTTCTTTTTTTGTTTCCATTCTGCTACATAGGATCTTTTCATTTTACAATACAAGTAGCTTTCTGTTGCTTTAGCAAGTTGGTATATTATACTTTGTGAAACTAAATTTCCTGATACATTCTTGGTAAAATTCAGGGTGGTTTGCAGTTGGTGTTGACCTATATGCCTTAAAACTTTTTTATATTAATGTAATCTAAATTTACAGAAAATTACAAAAATAGTACCAAAAAAATCCAGATTCACTGTTTACATTTTTATTTTGCCCCAATTTTTTTAAATCATTCATGCTCCAGTTCTTTTTCTTTCTCTCTCCCTCTCTATATGGGTGTATGTGTATGTCTATATTTTTCTTGAACCAGTTGAAAGTGAGTTGTAGGCATTGTACCCGTTTAACCCTTACATTCTTTTATATAACCAAAATAGAATAATCAAAATCAGGAATTTTAATGTGGATACAGTATTATCATCTTCATAGCCTATATTCAAATGTCATCAATTGTCCCAATGTCTTTTATATTTATCTTATATCTTATTCATGATTCAGTTCAAGATTATATTGTATGTAGTTTTCAAGTTTCCTTAGTTTCCTTTAATACGGAATTAGCTTCTCTTTTGTCATTTATGATCTTCATATTTTTGGAGAGTACAAGCAAATTAGTTTGAAGAATGTCCATCAATTTGAATTTGTCTGACTAGATTCATATTATGGATTTGGGGCAAGAATACTACAGAAGTGATGCACCACAGAAAAGGCATGGGATGTTCGTTTATCCTGTTTTTGTTAATGATGATGCTAAGCCTAGTTAATATGGCACCTGCCAGGTTTCTCTTCTGTAATGTTACTATTTTTTACTTTGCAATTAGGTAATTTGTGATAGTTTGAGACTATGTACATATCTTATTCCTCACCTGCTTTTCATTTAGCATCTGTCTTAGTTTGTTTTTTGTTGCTGTAACAGAATATGATAGACTAGGTAAATTATAAAAATAGAAATTTATTTGGCTCATGGTTTTTGAGGTGGAGAAGTCCAAGAGCATAGCACTAGCATCTGGTGAGGGTCATCCCATGGCAGAAGGTGGAAGGCAGAAGAGAGCACATGAGACAGAGAGAGACACCAGGGACCAGACTAGCTTTATAACAATTCACCCTCCCAATAAATAACCAGTTCC